CATATGCGTCATGTAGACACACCATGCGTCATGTAGACACACCATGCGTCATGTAGACAGGCCATCCGTCATGTAGATATACCATGCGTCATGTACGCATATGCGTCAGGTAGACATACCTTGCCTCATGGAGACACACCAGTCGCCCTGAAGGTATGCGTCATGTAGACATACCTTGCCTCATGGAGACACGCCAGTTGTCCTGAAGATATGCGTCATGTAGACACACCATGCGTCATGAAAATAAATGCGTCATGGAGACATACCTTGCGTAATAAAGACATACCATGCGTCATGCAGACACACAGTGCGTAGTGTAGACACATCATGTGTCATGTACACATATGCGTCATGGAGACACACCAGTCATCCTGAAGATATGCGTCATGTAGACACACCATGCGTCTTGTACACTTATGCGTCATGGAAAAAAACCTTACGTGATGAAGACAAACCATGCGTTATGAACACACTAGTCGTCCTGAAGATATGTGTCATGGAGACACACGTCATCGAGACACACCAGGCGTCGTGTAGTCACACCAGGCGTCATGTACACACACCAGGCGTCATGCAGACACACCAGGCGTCATGATGACACACAAGACGTCATGTAGACACAGTAGGCGTCAAGTACACAGACCAGGCATCAAGTTCCCGCAGCAGACGTTAAGTACACACACCAGGCGTCATGCAGACACACAGGGCGTCATGATGACACACAAGGCGTCATGTAGACACAGTAGGCGTCAAGTACACACAGCAGGCGTCGCGTACATATAGCAGGCGTCATGCAGACACACCGGGCGTCATGTACACACACCAGGCGTCATGTAGACACATCAGGCGTTGTGGAGACACAGCAATCGCCAAGTTCACGCAGCAGGCGCCAAATACACACACCAGGCTTCATGGAGACACACCAGGCGTCAAGTTCACGCAGAAGGCGTCCAGTACACACACCAGGCGTCAAGCAGACACACCAGGCGTCATGTAGACACAGTGGGCGTCAAGTACACACACTAGGCGTCGCGTACACACACCAGGCGTCATGCAGACACACCGGGCGTCATGTAGACACGCCATACGTCGTCCTGAAGATATGTGTCATGTTAACACATCATGAGTCATGTACACAAACCAGGCGTCATGTAGACACACCAGGCGTCATGTAGACACGCCAGGCGTCATGTAGACACACCAGGCGTCATGTTGACATACCATGAGTCATGTACACACACCAGGCGTCATGTACACACACCGGGCGTCATGTACACACACCAGGCGTCATGTACACACACCAGGCGTCATGTAGACACACCATGAGTCATGTAGACATACCATGAGTCATGTACACGCACAATGCGTCATGTAGACACACCAGGCGACGTGTAGACACACCGGAGTCATGTAGACATACCATGAGTCATGTACACGCACAATGCGTCATGTAGACACACCAGGCGACGTGTAGACACACCGGAGTCATGTAGACATACCATGTAGACGCGCCAAGTTACCGGTGGTTCCTTTGATCAACTAAACTCACATCAGGGAAACTGCGATACGAAGTAGTTTATTATAAATGGCTACCGTTTCCTTGCGTTACGTTCAGTTTCCTTGAAAGCAAATGTTACGAGCAGAGTTGTTGACGGAGGTCAGTGGAGGTCATAATTTCTTCTTGTTTCCCACAGAAAGGAGTTCAGAGGTCGATTTCAGTTGCAGCTGAGAAGAAGATTGAAGACGATCTCGAGTTCACCGCTCAAATTTAAGAAACCACCAAGAACCAAATGTAGCCTCAGAACCAGCTTGTGATTTCAGTCACGCGTTATTTTCACCACAAACGTCATGTCCGACCCCAGTTGAAGTAATCCTGTATATATATGTAAATCACTTTTCGGGGACGATAATTTTGAGGTTCTCCGTCGGACAGTCTTTATTGTGTACTGCGAAGTGCACGTAGTCATCTGGTTGATGATCTCCGGGAGGAACGTGTCAAGAATCTAGATCGAGGAAGAACCCTGACAAGCATCACCAGGGTCCACAGACACGAGGTGGTCAGGTGAAATAACGGGGTTAATGTCACGTTCACGATTAGTGCACGTATATAGCGACGTGGGGGCGTGGGTGGGTATAGTCCGGACGTATGCCTATTTTATAGAGCTAGCCCACTGATATAACATGGTTTCCCTTCTCGGACAAAGAAGGGATCAACAAGTACCATCTTTTAAAGGCTTTTGGTATGATGCTGCCAGGGATCGAACCCCCGACCTCCCGCTCTCCTCGACCTTCAGCATATACCGTGTATTGAATTATACCATGTACCATGTAGTAAAAAACAACACATACCATGTAATGAAAATTAGTATATACCATGTAGTGAAATACAGCATATACCATGTAGTGAAATACAGCATATACCATGTAATGAAAATTAGTATAAACCATGTAGTGAAATACAGCATATACCATGTAGTGAAAATTAGTATATACCATGTAGTGAAAATTAGTATATACCATGTAGTGAAAATTAGTATATACCATGTAGTGAAATACAGCATATACCATGTAGTGAAAATTAGTATATACCATGTAGTGAAATACAGCATATACCATGTAGTGAAAATTAGTATATACCATGTAGTGAAATACAGCATATACCATGTAGTGAAAATTAGTACATACCATGTAGTGAAATACAGCATATACCATGTAGTGAAGTATATCATATACCACGGAGTGAGATAAAGCATATATAGCATGTGGTATATGATCAGCTGTTGATGATGTCTGACACTTAGTGACGACACATCCACTAGATTACTAGGCAATTAGCGTTTAGTAAATACTGGCATCGAGTGCTGGAGCTATGTCTGATACACTCAGTAATTAGATTTCTCATTAGCTCCACGAGTTGACATACAATGCAGCTAATTAACGTCTGCACGAAAGGATACCATGGCGACACGTGTTTTAGGTTTCTCTGCTGTAAGAGTTGGTGACAAGATTAAGCACAGTCCGTTGAAAGTAATACCAAGGACATAACTATACCATAATTTGACAACATATAGTTTATTCAAAAGAGATAGGCGCGTAGTTAGTCACTGCATACTACGGCAGCTTCATGAGTATATGACTTACAATGTATGTAATACATCAATATCAATATCCATGTAATGTTGTATCACCGTATAAAGACTAAATTACTTGGAAATACTGCACACTGAAGTATAACTAGACTAATATCTAGTATCTGAAATGAACATATCGTACAGAAAAAACAGTTGTTCAGTTATCTTAATAAAAATATAATAAAAGGTAGCCCAGTGACTCTCTTCATTTTCAGATACTGCAGTAATCTAGACTTGCCAAACATTATAGACTTGCATGGGCTGTATTTGATATATATTTGTATCAGGGTCTGTAAGACAGACTAAAGTATAACCGATATTATTAAATACCGGGACACAGATTAGTGAAACTTCTCTCAAAGTATATGTGTCTCATACACTCTGACCGTGGATATGGTATGGTATGGTAGGGATCCTTGGGGGGAGGAGAGGGGTGTGTGTGTGTGTGTGTGTGTGTGTGTGTGTGTGTGTGTGTGTGTGTGTGTGTGTGTGTGTGTGTGTGTGTGTGTGTGTGTGGAATGGGGTGTGGGGTGGGGTGGGGTGGGTGGGGGTGGATGTGAATACTTTGTTATTTTCGAGACTATCGTGTTATGACATTATAAATACAAGTCAGAAGTAGAGGTAAGCAAGCTTATACTATGTGTCAAGTAGATAGGTTTTAGAGGGTGCCGGGGAGATCTTTTTCTATTGTTTCAGTTTGATCAATTATTATTTATTTATACAACCTGATTTGCTCATAAATATGGTTTTGTGCTGTGTAAGGATTAACGAAGCACGCAGCAATACTCCTGCCATGTGACGTCGGACTGTAAATAACCGAATCTGAACCAGACAATCCAGTGGTCGATATCATGAACATCGATCCATGCCGTCTGGGTACGAAGACACGCTTTCAACCGAAGTCACCGAGCCTGACCCTCCGATCCATTTCGTCGCCTCTTAATTACGAACATCATCTGTTGCTGGTGACCAATTCTCACCAGGTATCCTCACGGGGCTTACATGTACATGTATCAATCTCATAATCATAATGATAATAATCATAACCGCTAAACAACTTTGTAGCTAGAACTAATTAAGGTATGATTGAGTGAGATTCTACAGATTTGAAATGTGAGTATAAAGAGAGCCCAGACTTTGACGAAATAGTCATCTTGTGTCGTGAATTCGCTCGACCATAACTAGCGAGACAAACTCTTTAAGTTTTAAAAAGCAGAATTGTTTTAACATAAACTGCCGGGCAAAAGGAAATACACACCCATGTTTAATGGTGGCTAAAAAAGAAACAAACAACGAATGGGAATTCGAAAGTGATGTACTGACACGGGTATCATAGTTATGTTTTTTACCTTAAGTTTACTTTGTTTCAGTGACTGTTTTCAGCCTAGTAAGATTTTGATAACGTTTGTATTTTTGGGGTCAAATCCAATTTTCAAGTGTATACTATCTTTTTCCCGGCAGTTTATTTTAGCTATACATCTGCATCAAGTCATGCAAAATCTAAAACTTTCAAGTGATAGAAAGAAAAAAAGACTCGACATGTCCAATAGTTTTATAACACTATCTTTACAATTAGCCATTTCAGCTTGCCCCAAAAGGACCATTGTGTATTATACACCGCGATAATTAATGTCCTCACAGTGGATGATCTAACAATCGAATATGATAAATTCTTACAAGTTTTAGATAATATAGGTGGCTATTATTGTTATTATTATTTTATTTAACCTACTGTTATTAAACGTGTGCAATTATTTCCTCTACTACCTTCACCATGTAAGACTGTTTTACGGTTACGTATATTTATAACAGTAAATAAAAAAGTACGGTCCAAGGGGAGTAACTCTAATTACACAGAGGGCGCCTGTATCCAAGATGGCGACATCACTTGGAAAACAACGTCGTCACAAGATGTTGAACATTTATGATCGTCTACACAATTTTGAACTTGTTTGTTGTTGAATTACTTAAGTAATCGACCTCAATCACTCAGAATGTTTAACAAACCGAAGAGCTGGCTTACACAGGCCATTTGGAAACCGAAAAATCTTCATTCTTTAGATCATCTCAAGTGAGTGGCTTTGCTTTTCCTGTCACAGCAACTGAAGATTGTAAATATATATATATATATATATATATATATATATATATATATAGTCAGATGACCTAGACATGCCTCCGCTGCTCACTCTTACTGTTATTCAGGCAAGATTGTTTTTGGCAGAGTTGGGATAGATACATATATTGATAATTGTTTTTTTAGTTATCTGTCACATCTGTTTTTCCAGTCATACAGATCTATCTGTTGTCAATTTACTCATTGGTCTTTTGTGTTTCATAGCCGTGACAGTGGGTTACCGATTTAAACCTAAGACTTAACGTTAGCAGTTAACTTGAATAATACACATTCTTGCTAATTTGGGTGCATTTTATGATTATGGAATGACAATACATGGTTAGAACTTAACACTACACCGCTAGCCTGGGGCTAGTCAAATTCCTGCGGGCTAATACAAATTTCCAATTTTCCCCTTTATTTTAACATTACAAGGGCATGTTATCTTTTAGTAAAGCTTTTGAGTTCAATTTTCACCGTTCAATCTCAGCAATAGTTCACTGTGGTAAAGTATATTTGGTTGTCAGAGGATGAAGCATATGGCAGGGCACACCTTCAGCTAGACACCTGAGAACTATGACAAAGTCCCAACTAATCAGAAATTATAATGCAAACATGCACTTGTGTTGTTTGTCATGTTTTACCTCAAATGTAAAAAGCAAAGGGCAAGTCAAAATAGGGATGCTAGTGACACTGTAAGAGTGTAAGGGAGAACCATTGATAATGATTGGAAAAAACTATCTGCAGTCACTACAATCATGCCAAGAGGGACGTTTTTTTGTGAAAGATACAACTGGGACTGTTTTCATCAGTGATCTAACCTTCCCTATGTTGTATAAATTTACTTTTAATATCATGTTTACAATTTTTTGTGTACAGTAACTATATCAGTCATTTCATTGTTATCCATCATAATGGCTTCCTGAAAGACATGGAAATATGGTAATTTTTGTCGATAAGTACGATCCTAATTAGGTCCTTGTTTACAGGATGCTAATTAGAGAGTCTAGACATAACACTGACACCCATTGATCCATTAATTAGGTCATTGTGCATGTTGTTCAGGCTGTACTTACCACATGCTAACCAAGTTTATGTAGCTGTGTTTAATACGTTGCTGGTCAGTGTTTCAGATTGGTTCACTTTGGACCATGTTGGAGTACATTGACTGATTGTCATCCAAAATGTCCTGAAAGATTTTGTTGTTGGCACATTAAATGAAGATGTAGAATAATGTCGTGTTAAAAGTGGATAATCTTGTGACCTTGTCCTTTTGCTAGTCTCCATCTTATCATGCTTATGCCAATGGCAATAACAATAAGGATGCTGCATTTATTATCTCTTATAATGTTTAGCATGTTTAGAGTATTGATCCCAGTGTATGGTAATGTGACAACTACACATACTAGTCCTTATAATGATAACTTATAGCAAAACCCTTAAAAATGGCAAATTTCTTGTCCTCCTTAAGATATCTCAACTTTTCTGTAGTTTGGCAAGAACTATAGGACTAGGGCCAATATCTAACGCTGCATCACCCCATCAAACCAGAAACTATCAAAGTTGTAATTTTGAAGCAAATAAGTATACAACATGTACAAGTTACAGTGTTTCAGAGCAGTTCATTTTCATGGATCTTGACAGATTGTTATCCAAATGTCCCGAAGACTTCTTTCAAAGTTAGAATTTTCTTAATGATACAGAGGAATGTCCTTTTTTCAAAGTTAAAATTGATACAGAAGAATGTCCTGTCAAAAAGTGATAACGTTATGACAATGTCCATATCATGCCGATGCCATGTGCCACGGGCAAAATCACTGAAGTTCTCATATCCTACATCTTCTGTACTATGTATATGGAATTACAATCTATAAATGGGAATTTGGGGACTCAGGATCCGAGCACTTGACCTGATACTTGAAACGGACATTGCTACATGTGGCCTGCGATAGAATGTCATGTAAGGACTTTGCCTTCATGGTGGTTGAATATCATGTTACACTGAATCATGTGGTAATGATACCCTAAGCTGTGAGAAGTGTGACCCAGATTATGGGGTTCACATGTCTGAAGTGTCTCCACATAGGGAGGCCTTGCTCCATAATCAATTATGTTTCAAACAAGTGCAAATTACTAACGCCATGCATTTTGCTTAACATGGTAAAATATTCCTATGGTTGGTTGGTTGGTTTTGTTGTCATACGCTGCACTCAGCAATATTCCAGCTATATGACGGCGGTCTGTAAATAATTGAGTCTGGACCAGACAATCCAGTGATTAATATCATGAGCATCGATCCACGCAATTGGGATCGATGACATGCATCAATCATGTCAGCGAGCCTGACCAACTGATCCAGTTAGTCGCCTTTTACGACAAGCATAGTCACCTTTTACGGCAAGCATGGGTTGCTGAAGACCTATTCTACCCCGGAATCTTCACGGGTAGAATATTCCTATGGAGTGGCATCAGGTTATTTACCAGTATAACCATGATAACACAGTTTAATGTTAAGACTGATAGTCAAAGATCCTTGACACAACCCTAATTTTTAAAATTTAAGTTTGAGTGATCCCTAATTTCAATTGCTGTAGCAGGGAGCCTCAGGGATCACAGGACCTTTTTTAGTTTAAGTAATGGCAGCTTTTTCAGTCATGAGCTGTTGATTTCATACCCTGTTGTTATCTAGGGTTTTAAACTAAGTGCCTGTGGTTGACAAATTGGAAATACACATTTTGTTCAGTCCAAAATTGGGATGTTCCTATATCCTTACATTCACAGGTATTTCAATTGCTTGAGAAGCATTCCTTGGAGTTGACAAATGACAAAGTAGACACAATTTTAGACTAACATTTAGTCTCTGAAATCTTATATTACACAAGATCCTTCTTGACTCTAAATAATGTCAAAATATGTCGCATAAGCATAGTTGTGACATATTATAATATAAGAATAAATTTAAAGAGACCTAAATAGTGATATTTACTTTTTTTTTATCAACATTTTCTGCAGACTCTGGGCTAAATATCAGTCTCTGAAAATGCCTAGTTAACTCTTGGAATGTGGCCACGGGAAGATCCGGGTTAGAATTTATACACATGCTTACTGTAAGAGGCGACTATGCTTGTCGTAAGAGGCGACTGACAGGATCGAGTGGTAGAGGCTCGCTGAATTAGTTCATGCTTGTCTTCGCATCCCAATTGCAGAGATCAATGGTCATGATGTCAATCACTGGATTGTCTGGTCCAGACTTGATTTACAGACTACCATATAGCTGGAATATTGCTGAGTGCGGTGTTGAACAACAAACAAACAAAACACAGCTGTGGACTTGGCTTTTGCTTTCTGTTCTGTAAACATTGGTCAGCATGTTAAACTAATCATGTACAAAGTTAATATATATGTTTACTTAGATGTTTGAAGTTTCTATAGGAATAAATTTAATACACTTCTATTTAATTTTGTGATTGTGACATACAGCTCCAGTCGGTTGAATTAAGAAGTGTTGCCCTACAAAGCCATTTGATGTAACTGGTACGCAATTAAAGTCATGCCCCGCTTATACAGACTTCAAATATCCAGAAATCTCGGTTCCCGGACGATTTTCATTCAAAACAAAATAATTACTATATAAATTTACCCATTTATATGGAAATAGAGTTTTCAGAACCGGATGGTCATTTTCAAACACAAAACACTGAAATGCACACAAAATTGTCTCACTTACCCGGACAAAACACTTCAGCTGGTGGTAATCCTTCCGCTGGTGGTGATCCTTTGATTCATGAGAAGTCAATTAACCAAGTGACACTGAGTTACGTTTGAGACGAGCTTGTTTATTGTACATGTTATCCCATTCGATAAATAGTTGTGACTTCAAACTGTGAGTATGGCCTGTCAACCAGCAAAACATAAGCAACACGCAGTTACAGCACGCGAAAAAAGGGAAATTGGCCTGTTTAAGGAAATACACCTGTCAGCAAGTTTGGAAACCATCAGTAAGCATTATGTTTAAAATTCAAACCTCAAAATGTGGTAAAGTTCCAAACTTCCATGACAGATTTTTTGAAATTGTATGTCTTGAATAAAGATTGAGTGGATGTATCTGTTTGCTCTGTCATCTGTCATGAGTTGCATAATTGAAGGGAAGTAACTCTTCCAGTAAGAAGCAGTAAGAATTTCAGTTATACGAAAATTCGTTTATACGGACAAATTGTGAAAGTGTCCGTATAAACGAGGCACGACTGTATATATGTTGTAAACTGTGGCACATTCATCATCAACATCCAGAATCAGTCTATCTTGAATATTCTGCCCAGAGACTAAAGGTCAGTGGTTTGATTCCTAGGCTGCCTATTAAAACAAGACTGGTCAGCTCAGAGTCAGTATACTGTGTCCAAATGGGATATGCATGTCAAACTGCGGCATGGTATCTCAATGGCATTAGTCCGTACCGTTACTATTACAAGCAGCCACACATGCATGCATGTCAATATACCATTGCAATAATCTTTGAACATGACAACTTTAAACCCCTTTTCATTTCACCTGTTTTGAATTTAGCAAGTACCACAATACATTGCTCTTTTAGCTTTTGGCGCATCTCTGAAACTATTGGCTCTGTGAAGTTGTAACCTGTGCATGGATGATGATCCCAGTGATGGTGGGATGTCATTGCTTCCCAACATACCCAATTTTGAAATAGCTGAATAGTATAGTGTGTTACAGATCCTCATGGCTCCATTTGTCACTAAACTGGTTTAGTTCCGTATATTTTTCGGTTGTTTGTTTTCAGGCCATATTTGATAGTTTATCATGCTTGTTGAGGACAATTTCATGTTACAATTATTGAGAATGAAATCAGACTTGCCCAGCATGGAGATGTGTCTTGTGTAAGATGCTGTGCCTTGTCTTCCAACAGGTTCCTGTACACAGTGCTGTGTAAGAACCAGGCGATCACTGACTACAATCGAGGGCTCCTTATCGAGACTCTTCGCTCCATATCCGAGATCCTCATCTGGGGGGACCAGAATGACAGCTGTGTCTTTGAGTAAGAAATCAATACTGCAATTACATAAGTTGAAACTCATTTCTTGCATGTTCCAAGTCCTACTGTGTCTCATCAACTTCTACTTGACTAAAGACACCAAGAGCCAGTGCAGACAATCTTCCTGAACCTACAGCTCTGCTGTGATAACTTCCTAGTGATCAGAAAAAATATAACTGTAATTGCTGAGTAATTGTTGTCCATGCAATATGCTGACTCAGCTTCTGCCATACAGAATGCATTGCTGATCCAGCACTTCTGTTTGTGTAGCATACCCAGTTTGGGCATTCAAAAAGATGTTCCAATTTTACAAATTACAGCTTTCAAAATTAACTTGATTATCTTACTAGATTTGCAAATGATCTTTTTACATTTTTTTTCAAAATTTTGCCCGAAGAACTGAAATAACTGAAACTGAAATAGTGGATAAAAGCTAAAGGTTTCACCAGTTTAATAATCGTGTCAATTTGAACAAAATTATTGGTCATGTTAGAATGGGTAGGGTCATAAAACATCATGGAAATGGTTTGTAGCAAATTTACAGCAGACATTTAACTGTTTGAAGTGAGTATGCCATGTGATTGAATTGTGTGTGTCATATGTGAAGTATGTCCTGTGTTTGTAGTGAGTATGTCCTGTGTTCAAGGTATGTCATGCATTTGAAGTGAATGTGTCCTGTGTTTGAGGTGAGTATGTCCTGTGTTCGAGGTATGTCATGCATTTGAAGTGAATGTGTCCTGTGTTTGAGGTGAGTATGTCCTGTGTTCGAGGTATGTCATGCATTTGAAGTGAATGTGTCCTGTGTTTGAGGTGAGTATGTCCTGTGTTCGAGGTATGTCATGCATTTGAAGTGAATGTGTCCTGTGTTTGAGGTGAGTATGTCTTGTGTTCAAGGTATGTCATGCATTTGAAGTGAATGTGTCCTGTGTTTGAGGTGAGTATGTCCTGTGTTCGAGGTATGTCATGCATTTGAAGTGAATGTGTCTTGTGTTTGAGGTGAGTATGTCCTGTGTTAGAGGTATGTCATGCATTTGAAGTGAATGTGTCTTGTGTTTGAGGTGATTATGTCCTGTGTTAGAGGTATGTCATGCATTTGAAGTGAATGTGTCTTGTGTTTGAAGTGAGTATGTCATGTTTGAAGTGAGTATGTCCTTTGTTTGAAGTATGTCATGCTTGAAGTGAGTATGTCCTGTGTTTGAAGTGAGTATGTCCTTTGTTTGAAGCCAGTATGTTGTGTTTGAAGTGAGTATGTCCTGTGTTTGAAGTGAATATTTCATGTGTTTGAAGTGAGTATGTCATGTTGACCTTTTAGATTTGACCTCAAAAGTTCACTTCCTGGATACTTTGTGTTTCAGCTTCTTCCTGGAGAAGAACATGTTGTCCTTCTTCCTGCGCTACCTGCAGCAGAAGGGTGGCCGCTACATCTGTGTGCAGCTGCTGCAGACACTCAACATCCTGTTCGAGAACATCAGCAACGAGACATCTCTATGTGAGTGGGAACCCTGTGACACAGAGTGACAGTCACTGACACTCACTCATGCAGTGTGATGTCAGCTCAGGTTCAATGTCTCAGGACCCCATATATTTGACTCCTGCAGTACGTTTATGATAGTGAGGAACAAGGTATTCACAGTATCCATGTTTGTCAAAAGAAAGGATAAACATTAGACTTGGGGGTTGATAATGGCTGATGAGTATTGATAGTTTGTTTGTTTGTTGTTTAATGCCGTACTCAGCAATATTCAAGCTTCATGATGGCGGTCTGTAAAAAATCAAGTCTGGACCAGACAATCCAGTGATTGACATCATGAGCATCGATCCATGCAATTGGGATACCATGACATGCATCAACCAAGTCAGCGAATCTGACTACCAATCCCGTTAGTTGCCTCTTACGACAAGCATAGTCACCTTTTACATTATGAATGGGTTGCTGAAGACCTATTCTAGTTTTCTACCCCAGATCTTCACGGTTTGAGTATTTATAGAACTTTGATTGGTGACTATGTGGAATGGTTGGATTTAGGTGTGACCTGCCTCATTTTGCCTCAAGCATCCTGCTACTATATCAGCCATTGGTGTGTCTTGTCAAGGCATCAGTGTTCCTCTGTGTTAATTCCTTGTATTGTTGTGAATCTTCAGTAATGAGTTGTTTTGTCAATTCATGTAAAACTATTTTGTAGGCAGAGTAACAATTTCAAAGCACAATAAGGTGACAGAATTTGAAAACTTTGCCTCTTATTCAAACATCAAATCAATATCCAAAGATCACCAATGTGAAGCTGGTCTAACCTCAGCCTCTGCCATACATGATACACAGCAGGTCCCGTCAACCAGGAGGATGTACACACACATACATGTTGGAGTTTCACTGTAAATGTACTTCTACCTGTGTTGATGTGTGATGATTGTATGTCATCTCTCACTCCTAGATTACCTGTTGTCCAACAACCACATCAACTCCATCATCGTCCACAAGTTCGACTTCTCTGATGAAGAGGTAAGTGTTCACAAAATAACAAGAAATAATGCATTGTTCTCATTTGTTTCTATTATGACCCAGAGGCCCCTCTGTAGTCAGCCCAGGGAACGGAATGCTGGGAATTCGATCCCGGGTAGCGCCATAACTTGCTGACTCATGTTTATGTAAGAGAGATCAACTTTGTTGTCTGCCCCGAAGAGTACGTCGGGGGTTCGATCCCGGTAGCATCATACCAAAACACCTAAAAGATGGTACTTCTTGTTACCCTGTTTGGGGTTCAGTATTGATGGGATAAAATAAGTACTTGGCAGCTTGGAGTCTCACCTTAAATATATTTATTGTTTAACTTGGAGTATGTTAACCTAGCATGCGCAATGAGCAGCAGGTGAAAATAGAGTCATGAGAATAGGATACTGTCTTTCCTCTTGAGAATGTTTGAGTGAGTGAGTTGTGTTTAACGCCGCTTTTAACAGTATTCCAGTTATATCAAGGCGTGTCAGCTTAATGTGGGAGGAAAGCCCGAAGTGATGCAGGTCTCAGATGTTTACTACTTCGGTGAAACCCAGAGCATGGGTATGGTGCTGACAAAACTAGAAACATAATCGGGGCGAACCGGGATTCGAACCCACAATCATAGGTTTCTGGCGTGCCCAAGGGACGCAACTCTGCACAGCGAATCGCAGCGCCTTAGACGACTGGGCCACCAGTGCCCCCGAGAATGTCTGAGGTATAATAGACCCACATTACACAAAGCTTGTTACAGTTCACCAAGGACCATTTGAACATTGTGTGTAGAGTAATGATACAGCATGTATAGTGTGGTTTGATGCTGCCACTGTGTTACCGGTTTGCCTGCACTAGGCCCAGACTGACATTTAACAGACACTGGTGACTGTCTCCCACTGTTAAATGTTGTCTCTTGTTTGTGCAGGTGATGGCCTACTATATCTCCTTCCTCAAGACCCTGTCGCTCAAACTCAACAGGCACACTATCCACTTCTTCTACAACGAAGTAAGTTGAAGTTTTGTAATCAAATTTTGTTCATTTTGTCATTTTTAAAAGGAAACAGCGAAAACCATTCCATGTAGTGTTAAAACTTGTTATTAAGACTACCTGATTAAGCTACTGGAACTGCAGATAAATTGTATCCTTTATTACGTCGTGATGTTTGATATTGGCATTATATATTTGTTATTTGTGCCAATAGTTGTCCCCTGATTTAATGCATTTATATTTTGTCTCATCTTCCAGTGGACTGCTTGGGTTTCATGTTATTTTGGGGGCAGTAAGGTGGCCTAGTGGTTCATGCATTCGCTCGTCATGATGAAGACCCTGGTTTGATTCCCCACTTAGGTACAATGTGTGAAGCTCATCTCTGGTGTCCCCTGTCGTGACATTGCTGGAATATTGCTAAAAGCAGCGTAAACCCTAGTCACTCAGTTGGGTTGGTCTATCTGTTTAAGATCAAGGGATGTTTTGAATGGAAGTGTACCTACCCAATGTGTAGAAGTAGTGTCAAAATGCCCGAGTAACATTGCTTGAATGGTGTCTGTAATCTGTATCATGTGTATAACATCCAGTTTCCCTGTTTGTTGCAACAGGTGGTGTAGCTGTGTGTTGAAGGTGCTCACATGTTCTCTGTTTGTTGATGAAGCCCATTTCTGGTGTCCCCCGCCGTGATATTGCTGGAATATTGCAAAAAACGGCCTTAAACCATACTCACTCACTCACCCGGTTTGTAACAGGATGTGGTGTAGCTTTGTGTTGAAGTTACTCACATGTTCTCTGTTTGTCGCTGTGTGTTGAAGGTACTCACATGTTCTCTGTTTGTAGCAGCAGGTGGTGCAGCTGTGTGTTGATGGTGCTCACATGTTCTCTGTTTGTAGCAGCAGGTGGTGCAGCTGTGTGTTGAAGGTACTCACATGTTCTCTGTTTGTAGCAGCAGGTGGTGTAGCTGTGTGTTGAAGGTACTCACATGTTCTCTGTTTGTCGCAGCAGGTGGTGTAGCTGTGTGTTGATGGTGCTCACATGTTCTCTGTATGTCGCAGCAGGTGGTGTAGCTGTGTGTTGAAGGTACTCACATGTTCTCTGTCGCAGCAGGTGGTGTAGCTGTGTGTTGATGGTGCTCACATGTTCTCTGTATGTCGCAGCAGGTGGTGTAGCTGTGTGTTGAAGGTACTCACATGTTCTCTGTCGCAGCAGGTGGTGTAGCTGTGTGTTGATGGTGCTCACATGTTCTCTGTATGTCGCAGCAGGTGGTGTAGCTGTGTGTTGAAGGTACTCACATGTTCTCTGTCGCAGCAGGTGGTGTAGCTGTGTGTTGAGGGTACTCACATGTTCTCTGTATGTCGCAGCAGGTGGTGTAGCTGTGTGTTGAAGGTACTCACATGTTCTCTGTTTGTCGTAGCAGTTGGTGTAGCTGTGTGTTGAGGGTACTCACATGTTCTCTGTTGTTGCAGCAGGTGGTGTAGCTGTGTGTTGAAGGTACTCACATGTTCTCTGTTTGTAGCAGCAGGTGGTGTAGCTGTGTGTTGAAGGTACTCACATGTTCTCTGTTTGTCGCAGCAGGTGGTGCAGCTGTGTGTTGAGGGTACTCACATGTTCTCTGTATGTCGCAGCAGGTGGTGTAGCTGTTTGTTGAAGGTACTCACATGTTCGCTGTTTGTCGCAGCAGGTGGTGCAGCTGTGTGTTGAGGGTACTCACATGTTCTCTATTTGTCGCAGCAGGTGGTGTAGCTGTGTGTTGATGGTGCTCACATGTTCTCTGTTTGTTCCAGCACACAAATGACTTTGCCTTGTACACAGAAGCAATAAAGTTCTTTAACCACTCGGAGACCATGGTCAGGATAGCAGTGCGAACCATCACGCTCAATGTCTTCAGAGGTAGGCAGGGTTAACATACTACTCAAACAACACTTAACAGTATCATCATTTTGTTGCTATAAAGAGCATGTATTTTCAAATGTTCAAGTTCTTTCTTTATCAGTGGCCATGAGGCCAGTATATTTCAGTGTCAAAGAGTCTTTGTTTAATCCTTTGTAGTTGATGATAAGGCCATGCTGCGATACATCCGAGATCGGACAGCTGCACCGTACTTCTCCAACTTGGTGTGGTTCATTGGTCAGCATATACTTGACCTTGACCTATGTGTGAGAAATGACTCGGAGTGAGTACACTATTTCATCTTATTTTTTTCTCGTGAAATAAATGTGTTGCTGACATTATCCAACTGGTGGTCTCAAACCTAAATCATTTAATAAACATGGTTGATGTTCTGCAGTCACCGAAGTCGTGACCGCCTGTCTGATCTGGTGGCTGAACACCTGGACCATCTCCATTACCTCAACGACATCCTCTGCATCAACATCGATGCCCTGAACGAGGTCCTGACTGACCAGCTCCTCAACCGACTCCTCATCCCGCTCTATGTCTACTCCCTGACCAAGAGGAAGAAATATGCAGATGTACAGGTGAGACAGGGCTAGAAACTAACATATTTAGTCCACTAGTCCTTATAATGATAACATGTAGCAAAACCCTTAAAAATGGCAAATTTCTACTAGTCCTTATGATACCTTAACTATTGGGCAGTTTTGCAATGACTATATTACGATTGCCAATTTCTAACTGTGATATTATTATTGATAATCATCCCCGTATGTTTTCAGACGGATAAGAAGCATGTGAGCTCGGTTGTCTCCCTTTTCCTACTGTCTCAGGTGAGTTTCATTTTGCTGGAACAGTTGATCACGCCTTTTATACTACATTATGTCAGCTTACATCTTTGGTTAACATTGAAAACATTTGGAGGAATGCAGGTCATTTTCCAGAGTGCTGTCTCAGACATGTGAATAGGTCTTGCTGACCCGTGAAGATCCGGGGTAGGATAGGTATTCAGCAACCCATGCTTGCCTAAAAGGCGACTATGCTTGTCGTAAGGGGCGACTGACGGGGTCGGTAGGTCAGGCTTGCTGACTTGGTTGATGCATGTCATCATATCCGAATTGCGTGGATCGATGCTCATGATATTAATCACTTCCTTGTCTGGTCCAGACTCGATTATTTACAGACCGCCGTCATATAGCTGGAATATTGCTGAGTGCGGCGTTAAACAACAAACCAACCAACCAACTAAATTAGTTGAATTAGTAAGGGTGGAAACTGGACTTTTATAGTCAGTTAACTCCCTTGCCTTGGGAAGATGGTAAATTACTGCTGGGAATACAAGTATGCAAAGTGACATTTCTCTGTATCTAGGATTTGTAAATCTTTTTTAAGGGATTTGTAAATCCTAGATCAAACAAAGAATTTACTTCAACTTGTTTTTTGTGTTTATGGAGGTATAAATGTAAAGATGGGTATGCACACAAGATTCTATGTTCACAATGGATGTTCCGGGAGTGTGTTGAGATACTGTAAGAGGTGTCTGGTCTGACGATGATTTTGTTGGTGTTCCAGGTGTTTCTCATCATCCAGTCACCACCCCTGGTGCAGCAGCTGGCCGAGGTCATCTTCCAGGGGGACATCAGCCTCACTCGTACCGGCAGCCAGCATGACTCCCCTAAACTGGTACGTTACTATGTTCGTGAACACCAGAAGCATGGGAGGTAGCATTGCTCACAATATCAATCACTGGTTTGTCTGATCCATACTCGAGGCTGCCATCACATGATTCAGCGATAGAAACTAACAGTTTTAGTCCACTAGTCCTGATAATGATTATGTGCAGCAAAACCCTTAAAAATGACTAAATTCAACTGGACCTTATGATACCTGAACTATTTGGCAGTTTGGCAAGGACGATAGGACAAGTGCCAATTTCTATCGCTGATGATTGGAATGTTGGTGAGTGTGGCATAAACTAACAAACAAACAAACAGGCAAACACCTGCTGGCTCATGTTGCTTAATTTGACTATAAACAGAATCAAAAAGATTTCACTCGATATTATGTACCAATATTAGAAAATACTGGCATGGTAGATGGAATGTTTGTTTGTTTGCCAGTATACGGATGATTACTCAACACTATTATTTAGCATTACCCAAGAGATAATAAATATTCAATGAAGAGGATTTCGGACTTTCAGAGGATCCGCGAGTTCCGAGCACCGGCAGAATCATTGGAGAAGACCTTGGAGAACAATCGCCCAAAGATCCGGTACGGCCAGGCAGCGGGTGATGAGAGCCATGGACCATCTACTACCGAAGGGAACTCCACCTTCTATCTACAGCGGGACGAGGCAGCTGTAGCTGATGGTGTGTCCACACCCTCCACAGGTAGAATAACATTAGAAGCATTGCTGGCCACGCCTTTTATTGAACACATGCATATGTATCTACCAATGAACTTATGTATCTATCAAGTAAGGGGACATAGAAATATGTATGTCACAAAGTCGTATTGCATCAAGCATGTATTGCATGCGAGACAATGGAAATTTGTATTCTTATCCCATCTCACACTTTTCACATTTCTTCCTTCTTGTTTTCATCCCACGTGCAAACGTGTTTGAACAAAGTTTCCACCATCTAAAAAACTTCACCCGAACAAGTACCAACATCACCATGGTTACCACCCAAACAAATGGGTGACACACTTTAATCCTGTGCAAAGCGACCTTCACGTTGCAGTCATGTGATTGCCTCTGTGCCACATCATTCTCTTTCTTATCACCACATGTGATGTTCACAGAGATTTGAGAGAATCTAGTTTTTTGTTTTTTTTGCGGGATTCCCTTCAACATCATCTAGATTACATACATGATCTGAGGGATAACGGACAAGGACAGTTCTGTTCTGGTATGTCGGAAATGTTGCTGTATTCTACCACCAGGAGCACCGCCATTTTCTTCGGTTTGCTCCCGTGCTCCCGTTTGGAATTTCTTTGGCCCTGTGGCTCTTTACTCGCATTACCAAGCCCATCACAGAGTTCCTGCACATCCAAGGGATTGTGTTCGAGTCCTATATAGACGACTGCATTCAGGCAAATGAAGACCCAGACCCAGACGTCCTCCAGCACCATCTCGAGTTTAATCAAAGGCTTCTCAATCAACTGGTGTAACTCATCAACATAGGCAAGTCCAAGACGACTCTCACTCAATGACTCCAGGGCCCACTTGCACAAAGCGATCTTAGCGCTAAGACTATTGTAAGCCTATGTTAAAGTATGGTAGTTACGATCATCTTAGCGCTAAGATCGCTTTGTGCAAGTGGGCCCAGTTCATCGGGGCCCTCTTCAAAACCCTCCTCAGGAAGATGTTCTTTGTTCCGGACCATTGGCTGAAGATATCACATCTCCTGACGTTGGCACTCAGACAGCCTGCTACGTCAACAGCTCCTCAGTCTTCTGACATCATCGCAAGCCCCACACTATGAGGGTTCAACTTCAACTTCGGCAACTTCAGTGCTTTCTCACACCACACATCCAGAACGACGATTGTCAGGTCCTGATCCAACTGCGCCAGGGGCTCTTTGCGGCTGTTCGTCCCAACCCTACATATCTCTGTCGATGCATCAACCGTGGGTTTGGGGAGCGCACTTAGATGATCTACAGGTGGCAGGGCATTGGTCCGTCAAAGACAAATGACACCATATCAACAACCTTGAGTTCAAAGCAGTCATTCTGGTGGTGTCCCATTGGGCAGAGCTCCTTTGTGTGTAGCATCTCATGGGATAAATGCATAGTGTGAGATGGGATAAATTATAAGTGCTATATGCCCTCCCGACCATCCCCACATCATAGATCCTCTTGCCTGTAAGCTCTGCAAAATGGAATGATGTGGCAGAGGCAATCACATGATCATATCGTGTAGGTCACTATGCACGGGATTATAGTACATGACCAATTTGTTTGGGTGGTATTTATGGGATGCTGGGATGTGTTCAGGTGAATTGTAATATGGAAGGTGGAAACTTTGTTCCATAGCGGATCGAAAGAAGAAGGAAGAAATGCTAAGTGTGAGTTAGGATAAGTATTATTTATGTAAAATAATTTATCGTAAAATTTACTATTCTCTACAGGCAATAACAATGTGTCACAATTATCATTCTTTCATTACATACAATTATCATTACTGACAGGATGATGATGTTACGCACAGTTTGGGGGTTGACAAAAGTATGGAACAGGTGGGGTAAATAGTAGAATTTGTTGTGAAGTGAATTTGTTATCAAGTCAGGTATGTCATTCATGATCATGAAACCCCGTGGGGATTCTGGGTTGGAATTGGGGACGTATCACTGCAGAATTGGTCCCCAGCAACTTGGTTCATAGTATGTCCTCGTACCCAAACACGTGGATTGTTTCTCACAATTTAGATCACTGGATTGTCTAGTCCAGGCATGAGTATTTACAAACAACCGTTAGGTAGTTGCAATCTTGCCGAGTGTGGTGTTATACAATAATCAAACAAACATGATCATGAGTACTATATCAAGTATGACACTGTTGTTGACGATCTGTAATTGTAGAGGGAGCTCTGAGCCCGAGCAGTGAGATCTACTCTGGGGACACCGACATCTCTAGCCCAAACCAGAACTCCACTGACGAAGAGAAGCTTGTGCAGAGGATGGGGATAGTCTCAGGCAGCATTTCCGAGAGGCAGCAGGCAGCCTTCACACTCGAGAACAGGTGCTCTCTTCTGTCTTCAACATCACTGTAGTATGTTCCTGTATTGTGTGTGTAGGACAGAATACGTCCCCAGGGTCCCATCACTGTAGTATGTTCCTGTACTATGTGTGTATGAACAGAATAGGTCCCCAGTGTCACATGACTGTAGTATGTTCCTGTTTTATGTGTATGAACAGAATAGGTCCCCAGTGTCCCATCACTGTAGTATGTTCCTGTACTATGTGTGTATGAACAGAATAGGTCCCCAGTGTCACATGACTGTAGTATGTTCCTGTTTATGTGTATATGAACAGAGTAGGTCCCCAGTGTCCCATCACTAGTATGTTCCTGTTTTATGTGTGTATGAACAGAATAGGTCCCCAGTGTCACATGACTGTAGTATGTTCCTGTTTTATGTGTGTATGAACAGAGTAGGTCCCCAGTGTCACATGACTGTAGGATGTTCCTGTTTTATGTGTATATGAACAGAGTAGGTCCCCAGTGTCCCATCACTAGTATGTTCCTGTTTTATGTGTGTATGAACAGAATAGGTCCCCAGTGTCACATGACTGTAGTATGTTCCTGTTTTATGTGTGTATGAACAGAGTAGGTCCCCAGTGTCACATGACTGTAGTATGTTCCTGTACTATGTGTGTATGAACAGAATAGGTCCCCAGTGTCACATGTCTGTAGTATGTTCCTGTTTTATGTGTATATGAACAGAATAGGTCCCCAGTGTCCCATCACTAGTATGTTCCTGTTTTATGTGTGTATGAACAGAATAGGTCCCCAGTGTCACATCACTGTAGTATGTTCCTGTACTATGTGTGTATGAACAGAATAGGTCCCCAGTCTCCCATGACTGTGGTATGTTCCTGTTTTATGTGTGTAGGAACAGAATAGGTCCCCAGTGTCCCATCACTAGTATGTTCCTGTTTTATGTGTGTAGGAACAGAATAGGTCCCCAGTGTCCCATCACTAGTATGTTCCTGTTTTATGTGTAGGAACAGAATAGGTCCCCAGTGTCACATGACTGTAGTATGTTCCTGTTTTATGTGTGTAGGAACAGAATAGGTCCCCAGTCTCCCATGACTGTAGTATGTTCATGTTTTATGTGTGTATGAACAGAGTAGGTCCCCAGTGTCCCATCACTGTAGTATGTTCCTGTTTTATGTGTAGGAACAGAATAGGTCCCTAGTGTCCCATCACTGTAGTATGTTCCTGTTTTATGTGTAGGAACAGAATAGGTCCCTAGTGTCCCATCACTGTAGTATGTTCCTGTACTATGTGTGTGTGAACAGAATAGGTCCCTAGTGTCCCATCACTGTAGTATGTTCCTGTTTTATGTGTGTAGGAACAGAATAGGTCCCCAGTGTCCCATCACTAGTATGTTCCTGTTTTATGTGTGTAGGAACAGAATAGGTCCCTAGTGTCCCATCACTGTAGTATGTTCCTGTTTTATGTGTGTAGGAACAGAATAGGTCCCCAGTCTCCCATGACTGTAGTATGTTCCTGTTTTATGTGTGTATGAACAGAATAGGTCCCCAGTGTCCCATCATTAGTATGTTCCTGTACCATGTGTGTATGAACAGAATAGGTCCCCAGTGTCCCATCACTGTAGTATGTTGCCATTACATGACCCTAGGAACAGAATAGGTTGTTGTGTTGTCATATTGTCACCTATTTGAAACAACAACAACAGACAATTTTAGGATTTAGGACTCGGTTCTGTTCCATATAAAATTTGACTAATTTGCCCAGAGAAATGGGGCCACTTGTTTGCCTGGGTTAGTCTTGAGTATTCAAATATCATCATGATGTAACTGGAAGCCTGGTATAATGGTGACTTGACTTTGTTGACGTAAAACAACATACTTTCTGTTTGGCTTGTAGGACACGTGCAACTTCTGTCATAAGGGGCTGTGTCACTGGCAGTGTTCAAGTGTGACAGTGAACATGAAGGATTTGCTTATTACTCTTGAGTCTCTAGGCACACATTGTTAATGCTGTACCATGTGTGCAGGGGCAGTCGGGTAGCCTAGTGGTTAAAGCGTCCACTCGTCACGCCGAAGACCCGGGTTCGATTCCCAAGCATTGGTACAATGTCTGTGCTTGTGATTAGCTGGCATTGTGTATTCTATGTCTTGCCTTTCCATGTGATTTGAACAGTCAACCACTGGCTGTGATGACTTCATATAGTATTACATAATACATTTTATGGGGCGATGGGGTAGCCTAGTGGTTGAAGCGTTCGCTTGTCATACCGAAGACCTGGGTTTGATTCCCGACATTGGTACAATGTGTGAAGCCCATTTATGGGTTCCCCAGCAGTGATATTGCTGGAATAGTGCTTAAAGTGACGTAAAACCATACTCACTCACTCACTGTTTGTGCAGGCCATACTTGGAGTCGGTGTTCAATGCCCTGGAGTGTACAGAGAATGACTACGCTGCCCTGTTTGCCCTGTGTCTGCTGTTTGCCATGGGCAAGAATGATGGTGAGTTCTGCAGGTTCTGTACCAGAGGCGGGGCGGTCGGGTGGTCTAGTGGTTAAAGCGTTCGCTCGTCACGCCAAAGACCCGGGTTCGATTCCCGACATGGGTACAATGTGTGAAGCCCATTTGTGGTGTCCCCCGCCGTGATATTGCTGGAATATTGCTAAAAGCGGCGTAAATCCATACTCACTCACTCACTCACTCATCCACTGAGGCTCTGATCCTGTAGCAGGACAGACACCTTGTTGAAAGATACACCCCTTTAGAGGATTAGAAGAGATACTAGTACTCTAGCCCTGAAAATATAGTCTTGTTTTCTCTGTAATCTAGTTTTGGTACATGCATAAACTTCCACTCAAAATGAGCTGGAGACTTGTGGGAGTTAAATCATGTTTTCTATCTGTTGTAAGATTTTAACTACGTTAATGATGTTAATTCCTGTATGACGTGTGTTTTCCTGCATCGGTATGACAAGTGTACACCTGTATGACAAGTATGTGTATGTGTTGAAGGTATCTCCCAACAGCTACTGGATAGTGTTCTGATGCCCACGGAGAGGTCCGAGGTGGGTACTCCACATGTTGTTGTATGTAAATGTTCTGTTACTTGTATTTTACAACACAACAACTCAGTGTCAGTATTTCCAGACATATGTGTTGTACGAATGTTGAGAAATGTTGTATGAATGTTAGATCTACTTCAGGTTGATTCACAGACCCATGAAAAGCTTTTGGGTAGAATAGGTCTTCAGCAACCCATGCTTGCCGTAAAAGGCGACTATGCTTGTCGTAAGAGGTGACTAACGTGATAGGGTGGTCAGGCTCACTGATGTGGTTGATGCATGTCATTGTATCCCAATTGCGTGGATCAATGCTCATGATGTCAATCACTGGATTGTCAGGTCCAAACTCGATTATTTACAAACCGCCATCATATAGCTGGAATAGTGCAGCGTTAAACAACAAACAAACAAACACAATGCATCACCAGGACCTGTTCCACAAAGTGATCACAGCACTTAGACTGTCACAAGTCAATGGTCAATGTAAAGTATAGGTGTTACAATGTAGCAGGGCCTGGGTTTACACCATGCTGCAGTATATAAAGTTATTGCATGACGATGATGTTGCAGGCAAAGGACCACTACAACATCGCCCTGGTGGAAAGGCTCATCAGGATCATCACGCTGGCCTGTCAAGCAAGTGAGTGCTTTCTGCACTAGAATCTCAGTTTATTTAATTGAAATAGATTATTGTGGGTTTGGATTTAAGGATACAGGTTTTTTGGAAAAATTTACCGTCTACCATGAACAAAAAAAGATATGATTTATAGCTATATCAAAATAATGTCATGGTTTAAGGGTTGACTGTATTTTTTCGGTTCATTGAGGTATGAATCGAAAAAACGATGTGCAAACTGTATGAATCCGCATAGTGGATTCTTACAAAAGTTTGCAAATCGGTTATTGTTCGGAAGAAGGCGGCTGTTTGAAATGACATGGTCAGGTACCACCAGATTCAAACATTAGTTTCATGAGAACAGGAAGACACCGTTGGAAAAATGCTAGTTAGAAATGAAACCCAAAGACATGAAATTAAAGTTGTGGAACCAAGGGGGACGGGAAAAAAACCCAGGCGAGCGAGCTTGCACATTTGCTGTTTCATTCCTCATCGGCCTTCATCTCCAAGAGTTGTTTTGACAAAGAAATGCATGAATTTTGTTTAATGTCCTGTGCATGATGATACACGTGAGCAGAAAGGGAATTGCCCCGACTGTGATAATGTGATTCCCCGACATTCAGTAGTAAGAAAAGTAGTCTGCCCTGGTGAGCGTGGCTCACTTTTTTACATTCATTGGGAAATGAATGCAATAACACGTGACCTATTCAGCTTTATCAGAATGCAGGAATTTCAATGAACACAACGAAAATTTAATTATAATGTATTGAATGGTTTGGATTTTAAGGGGAGGTAACTCTTGTGATCATAGTAGCCGATGGATCATTCATTTGCAAAGGTGTCATGTTAATAAAATGATGCAGTTATGAAAGCAAATGCATCCGTTACGAAGTATAAACTATGTGCAGTGTTAAGATTTACTTCTCAATAATCACAGACACATCTTATTACGATTATGATTGTGACCCCTGGTCTGTCGGCGCCCTTCCTCTACCAACCAATTGGCAAACATCTACTACCTGCATCACTTCAGGCCTTTCCCACAATAAACAGACATGCAGTGATGTAACTGAAATAGTGTTCAAAGAACCATTAAACCCAACTATTTCTGGTTTTCCTTCATTGTTCTTCATTGTTTCCTGAACTTGTATGTTGCAGGCAGCAAGGTTCGACTGGCCACACTGCAGCTGAGCATCAAGTTTCTGAGGCAGCTGGTGATACAGGAGGGCAAGTCCTTCCTACAGGACCGCCACCTGGCCTGTATAGAGAACGCCAGGGAGTGCAGCACTCAGATGCTGAGGAACTTCTATAAGGTACTTACAGAATAACGTATGTACCCGTGAAGATCTGTGTTAGAATAGGTCTTCAGCAACCCATGCTTGCCGTAAAAAGCGACTATGCTTGTCGTAAGAGGCGACTAACGGGATCAGGTGGTCAGGCTCGCTGACTTGGTTGATGCAGCGTTAAACAACAAACAAACAAACACACAAAACAGAATAACATATGAGCTTTGAGTTGTGTATAGTTTGTTCTTTCTTTTCAGTTTTAGTTTGTTTTCACTTTATCTATTTTTTGGGAAGTTATTTATTATCTTACCCATGGTCTCTTTCCTGAGGAAGTGTAGAAAAATGTTTCCTGATCTCAAGTTGCAATATCAGCTCACTAGTCTATTCTTGGAAGGACTTCACGTAAGATCATTTGTGACATCATGAACAATGGATGTCGTCAGCTTCTAATTTTTGTGACATTTCGTACATATGACATCACTTTGCCATGGGACTCCTCACAAACAATGAAAAAGTGGACCAATCGGAATGAACTTGCCAATCAGAATGAAGCAAATCTTATGGGGCTCAGTGAAAATTACTGAATAATGTCAGCTGTATGTCCTGATGGAATTATGAGACAGTGTTTTCTAGTCAGAAGAACTCGGAGAGTAACCACCTATTTTTGTTATTTCTAGAACTACCGCATGTATTAAATGTTCTGTGTTTATCATAAAGACTAAGGATGATTCTTGCCTGTTATGGTAATCAGGCACTGAACCACAGTGAAAAACTTTTGAAAGACTTGGTCTACAGACTGCTGGTTAAAATTAAGACTGGAATCAGCAAGGACATGAAAATGTCTGAAAACTATTTTCTTTCTGTGATTTCTTGGAATTTATTTCTGTATCATAAAGACTACAGTTGTTCATTATTATTTTTTGTTTTTGTTACAGAGTGAAGAAATTTTCTTGGACATGTTTGAAGATGAATACCGGGACATGATGGTAAATGTGAAACATTTTATGTGTTGTCAATAGGACAATACGTTGGATCAGTGTTTCTGTCTATACATACACCATAGTATGATGGTAAATGTGAAACATTTTATGTGTTGTCAATAGGACAATAAGTTGGATCAGTGTTTCTGTCTATACATACACTATAGTATGATGGTAAATGTGAAACATTTTATGTGTTGTCAATAGGACAATAGGTTGGATCAGTGTTTCTGTCTATACATACACTATAGTATGATGGTAAATGTGAACCATGTTATGTGTTGTCAATAGGACAATAAGTTGGATCAGTGTTTCTGTCTATACATACACCATAGTATGATGGTAAATGTGAAACATTTTATGTGTTGTCAATAGGACAATACGTTGGATCAGTGTTTCTGTCTATACATACACCATAGTATGATGGTAAATGTGAAACATTTTATGTGTTGTCAATAGGACAATAAGTTGGATCAGTGTTTCTGTCTATACATACACTATTGTATGATGGTAAATGTGAACCATGTTATGTGTTGTCAATAGGACAATAAGTTGGATCAGTGTTTCTGTCTATACATACCACCATAGTTCATCTTATTTTAAGCTGCAAGCTCCTGCGTAGATTCCGTGTCAGAATATAGGTCTGCGTAGTCTTGTTGTAAGAGGCGTCTAAATGTTTGAGGGTCAGACAGAGGGTCAGTGACAAGGTTGAATGCTTGTCATTGTTTCCCAAATGTGTGGTAGGTTGCTCATAATATCAATCACTGGTTACTCTGGCCCAGACTTGAAGCTTCCTCTCACTACATGTTACCTGACAACCAACATCACATACAGATGCACATGCATATTGTAGACAGTCATTGTTTCATCACATGTGAAAGGTGTGGAAGATTATCACAACTCATCATAAAATCTAGCTAACTGATTGGTCAGTCGTCTGAAGAAACCCATACAACTCAGTTACCCAACTAGGACAGATATCATGATGTCAAAACTGTGAATGAGAACTCGCTTACTCATGTTACTTGCCAGGTTACTATTGATTCTTCAAACTTTGCAGGCCACATTTTCTTAACTATTTTGTGTCTGAAAAAAACTCTTTGCACTTGTTGGTGATGTGTTTGTTACATATCATATGTCATTAGACCGAGCACAGTATTTACAAGCTGAACATGTGCATACCACTCTCAACCCTCATTCAACTTGTAAGATGATGATCCGGGTTAGAATAGGTCTTCAGCAACCCATGCTTGCCATAAAATGCGACTATGCTTGTCGTAAGAGGCGACAAACAGGATCGGGTGGTCAGGCTTCGCTGACTTGGTTGATGCATGTCATCGTATCCCAATTGGGTGGATCGATGCTCATGATATCAATCACTGGATTGTCTGGTCCAGACTTGATTATTTACAGACCCCCGTCATAGAGCTAGAATATTGCTGAGTGCAGCGTTAAACAACAAACAAACAAACAATTGTAAGATGATGTAACTTGCTAATGATGCATGTAACATGTGGCATTGTTTCTTGACCCTGACTGTTGAACCACCTTCTTGACCTGTAGAACCGCCCCTTGAATGTGGAGTACCTAATGATGGACGCCTCCATTCTCCTGCCCCCTCTCGGCACGCCGCTCACTGGCATCGACTTCGACAAGAGGCTCCCGTGTGGGGAGGTGGAGAGGGCTAGAAGAGTAAGTAAACATTTTGGAACAACCAAAGTAACAATCAGGGAGCCATTGTACAGATCGATCTTAGTGCTAAGGTGATCGTAACTCCCATACCTTAACATAAACTTACGACAGTCTTAGTGCTAAGGTGATCGTAACTCCCATACCTTAACATAAAATTACGAGTCTTAGTGCTAAGGTGATCGTAACTCCCATACCTTAACATAAACTTACGACAGTCTTAGTGCTAAGCTTGTTTTGTACAACGGCTACAGATGTTATAATTATTTTATTTATGTCTGCACTTTGTGATTAGCTGGCATAGTGTATTCTGTGTTGGGCGTCTTGCCTTGTCCATATGATCTGAACACTCAACCACTGGCTGTGATGACTCTATAATACACATTATTGGGCGGTGGGGAAGCCAAGTGGTTAAAGCGTTCGCTTGTCATGCCGAAGGCCCTAGTTCAATTCCCCACATGGTTACAATGTGTGAAGCCCATTTCTGGTATTCCCCATCGTGATATTGCTGGAATATTGCTAAAAGCAGTGCAAAACTATACTCACTCACTTGACCACTCTACACTTAACTGTAGTAAATGCATCTGCATTGTGTCACCAATAGTTTCTGTATTACATCAACAATAGCCTCTATATTGCATCATCAATAGTCTCTCTTTTACATCAACAATAGTCTCTATGTTACATCAACAATAGTCTCTATGTTACATCAACAATAGTCTCTATGTTACATCAACAATAGCCTCTATATTGCATCATCAATAGTCTCTATGTTACTTCAACAATAGTCTCTATGTTACATCAACAATAGCCTCTATGTTACATCATCAATAGTCTCTCTTTTACATCGACAATAGTCTCTATGTTACATCAACAATAGTGTCTATGTTACATCAACAATAGTCTCTATGTTACATCAACAATAGCCTCTATATTACATCATCAATAGTCTCTATGTTACTTCAACAATAGTCTCTATGTTACATCAACAATAGCCTCTATGTTACATCATCAATAGTCTCTATGTTACATCATCAATAGTCTCTATGTTACATCAACAATAGCCTCTATGTTACATCATCAATAGTCTCTATGTTACATCATCACTAGTCTCTGTTACATCAACAATAGCCTCTATGTTACATCAACAATAGCCTGTATGTTACATCATCAATAGTCTCTCTTTTACATCAACAATAGTCTCTATGTTACATCAACAATAGTCTCTATGTTACATCAACAATAGTCTCTATATTACATCAACAATAGCCTATATATTGCATCATCAATAGTCTCTATGTTACTTCAACAATAGTCTCTATGTTACATGAACAATAGCCTCTATGTTACATCATCAATAGTCTCTATGTTACATCAACAATAGTCTCTATGTTACATCAACAATAGTCTCTATGTTACATCAACAATAGCCTCTATATTGCATCATCAATAGTCTCTATGTTACTTCAACAATAGTCTCTATGTTACATCAACAATAGTCTCTATGTTACTTCAACAATAGTCTCTATGTTACATCAACAATAGTCTCTATGTTACATCAACAATAGTCTCTATGTTACATCAACAATAGCCTCTATGTTACATCATCAATAGTCTCTATGTTACTTGAACAATAGTCTCTATGTTACATCAACAATAGCCTCTATGTTACATCATCAATAGTCTCTATGTTATTTCAACAATAGTCTCTATGTTACTTGAACAATAGTCTCTATGTTACATCAACAATAGCCTCTATGTTACATCATCAATAGTCTCTATGTTACATCAACAATAGCCTCTATGTTACATCATCAATAGTCTCTATATTACATCAACAATAGCCTCTATGTTACATCAACAATAGTCTGACTCAACCTGATTACCTTCTGGCCTAGCTATCAATTGTATCGTTGTTTTGTTTGACTTTCCAGTAAAGTATGTAGTGCAGCCGGTTTATCTGTTGTGCAGCTGATCTCTATTGCTGGATATTTTTAACATATGGAACACTTTGACTAGTCAGTGTCGAGGCTCTCGCGCCCACGATCCTGAAAAGTTTATGTTGACATATAATAGCCAAACTACAACGAATATCGCTTTTAACAAGTCAAAATATGGCATTTATGATATATATGTATCCTTTCGCTGTCCACTAAAATTCGTTTCAAGGCTTCAATAGCGGTAATCTGACCGTGATTGCTGCAAATAACAGTAAGCTGTGCGATCTACTGATCACTTCACACATCATTTCGCCAAAGTTTATGTAAACAATATTGAATGAAATTTTGAATGACCTTAATAAAATAGTTACAAACATAAGTCCAGATATACAGAGAACGCTTTTTTATACATGATTAATTTGCGTACTTCACTATGGATTTGTTGACATGGTATTTCTGGTGTTACATGCTCACGGTAATGTCTTTGTGTTGGACAAACGTTGGAGGGAAAAAAACCATCAGAACTCTTCTACCCTGTATATAGGGCGACCCCCCCCCCCCCTTGAAACCCCCCTAATTCTAGGTATGAAAAACTTGCCTTATACACAACGATATACGGTATGTGAGTTCTGTGCACACAATGTGGACGAAACGAACAGCAATTTACATGAGAAAATGTTTGAAGATGTTTAACTGCCTGCCTTTGTTGCCAGACTTTAGGCTTTTGCAAATGATAATGCCCTGTAATAAATAGGGTTACAGGTAAACTGATGATATCAGCCTGCCTTTCGCATAAGCAGGTTTCAGCCAAGGATATATGCTTTTTAGAGGACACTAAAATCTCAGTACAAATAGCATTGATGGATTCATGTGCACCCAATGAATCATGAGTGTGATTCATGCATTTTTGTACCTCCCAACTTGATACGAAATTTGATACACTTGTCAATGTTGACATGTGTCATTTGTTATGTCTTTTGTTCAGACATGTCCTACTTTCTTTACACGACCCACAGAGATAAGATTTGAGTACCTCTAATAAAAAACTGTTAGGGGCCATCATGGAGCCTTTGTGAAGATCTGGGTTAGAAATGATCCTCAGCAACCCATGCTTGTTGTAAGAGGCGACTAACGGGATCGGGAGGTCAGACTGACTGCCTTGGATGATGTATGTCATCGTATTGCAATTGTGTAGGTCGATGTTCTTGATGTCAATCAAGGGATCTTCTGGCCCAGACTTGATTATTTACAGACCACTGTCATATAGCTGGAATATTGCTGAGTGCCTCGTACAATAACTACTACTATCTTATGGTCATTGAAAGTGATAGCATATTTTTAGTGTTGTACAGTGTGTGCTTGTCAAAAGCAGCAACAGTAATAATGTTTTGATTCCCTCATTTGCTTCATGTGAGGATTGTTTCTTTTCCTTCTTGTTTACCATTCCTGTAATAATAGTAATGATAATAGTAATATGAAGCGTTATGTCAGAAGGGGTTGTTGCATCTTTGTCTGTGGCTGATCTTACTGCTGGTGGCTGATCAATGCATCACTGTTATCCCAAGGCTAATCCCACTGGTCAGGGAGCAGTATCCCATGTATTGCTGTTATCACAGGGCTATTCCTACTGGTCAGGGAGCAGTATCCCATGTATTGCTGTTATCACAGAGCTAATCTCACTGGTCATGGAGCAGTGTCCCATGCATTGCTGTTATCATAGGGCTAATCTCACTGGTCAGGGAGCAGTGTCCCATGTATTGCTGTTATCACAGGGCTATTCCTACTGGTCAGGGAGCAGTATCCCATGTATTGCTGTTATCACAGAGCTAATCTCACTGGTCATGGAGCAGTGTCCCATGTATTGCTGTTATCATAGGGCTAATCTCACTGGTCAGGGAGCAGTGTCCCATGTATTGCTGTTATCACAGGGCTATTCCTACTGGTCAGGGAGCAGTTTCCCATGTATTGCTGTTATCACAGGGTTTATCTCACTGGTCAGGGAGCAGTGTCCCATGTATTGCTGTTATTACAGGGCTAATCTCACTGGTCTGGGAGCAGTGTCCCATGTATTGCTGTTATCACAGGGCTAATCTCACTGGTCAGGGAGCAGTTTCCCATGTATTGCTGTTATCACAGGGCTATTCCTACTGGTCAGGGAGCAGTGTCCCATGTATTGCTGTTATCACAGGGCTAATCTCACTGGTCATGGAGCAGTGTCTCATGTATTGCTGTTATCACAGGGCTAATCTCACTGGTCAGGGAGCAGTGTCCCATGTATTGCTGTTATCACAGGGATAATCTCACTGGTCAGGGAGCAGTGTCCCATGTATTGCTGTTATCACAGGGATAATCTCACTGGTCAGGGAGCAGTGTCCAATGTATTGCTACTATCACAGGGCTGATTCCACTGGTCAGGGAGCAGTGTCCAATGTATTGCTGTTATCACAGGGCTAATCTCACTGGTCAGGGAGCAGTGTCCAATGTATTGCTATTATCACAGGGCTGATCCCACTGGTCAGGGAGCAGTGTCCCATGTATTGCTATTATCACAGGGCTAATCTCACTGGCCATGGAGCAGTGTCCCTTGTATTGCTGTTATCACAGGGCTAATCTCACTGGTCAGGGAGCAGTGTCCCATGTATTGCTGTTATCACAGGGTTAACACCACTTGTCACTTTTCAAGGTCACAGAATGGTCATGGAAAATACTCTTAATATGGAGATGGCCAATGAGGAGTGTGAGTTATATTATCAAATCTGTGTATGTGATAGTCTCAGCCACTATATTCAATAGACTGCTATGACTCCGGTCTTTTCTAGATGATAGCATCATTTATTTAGTGTAGTCACTATTGGGTTACCCCGTGAAGATTCCGGGGTAGAATAGGTCTTCAGCAACCCATGCTTGCCGTAAAAGGTGACGATGCATGTCGTAAAAGGCGACTAACGGGATCGGGTGGTCAGGCTCTCTGACTTAGTTGATGCATGTCATCAAACCCAATTGGGTGGATCGATGCTCATGATGTCAATCACTTCCTTGTCTGGTCCAGACTCGATTATTTAC